CCGAATCTGTTTGATATTTATTTTATTTTTGAATTTTCATTGTCATGTCAAAAGCTCATTAGGTGGGGATACTTAGGTGGATTACTTACCCTGCATTCCCATGCCAGGGAAGTTTTTCTCGAACTTGTAAAGAGCGAAACACCCCAATCTAACAATACAAACAAAATTAGGTTTCTTCATAAACCCTCGCATACGGACAACCGAAGCCTAATCGTCATAGCTCCTTTCTAATATAATGGGGACCTCTCTCTCTCTCTCTCTCTCTCTCTCTAGATTATTAAGTTCCATTTTCATATGAAATTTCATGGGTTTGTTTTGTTCCAAGTTACAAAGATACTCATACTTTAGCCGAATTTGTTTGATATGTATTTTATTTTTAGATTTCCATTGTATTAAACTTTTCACTTCTTAAATTCTTTTTGAATTGTTGTACATGGCGTCTTATGCGCATATGTGTTTGTGAATTTTGGCTATTTCTGATAACATAACTCAAAGTTATGTGTGTGTGAAATTAAGTTCTCGCGACCATGTTGGCCTTTTCTCTTACTTTTTTCTCTTACCTCAATTTAATGACTCGTGTCGTATTCATTGCATAGAGCTGGGGCATGTTAGAGAGGAACCATTCTATGAGATTACGAATGACCTCACCTAGCGTGTTAAGAGGGCAAGGGCATTACAGAAAATAACAGAGGAGGTTCTGGAGCCTCTTATATAAGAAGCAATGGAGAATGTTTGACCAGAAGAAGGATTAAGGGTGGTCCTAAAGTTTCTAAACAAAAGTGGTAAAGTACCAAGCATAACGGAGGAAATCCTAGAGCTGCATGTTAAAAAAGAAGTAATACCGCTAAGAGTGCAAGTCTTGGGTTTTAGAGGCATTGATGCTGAAATGTACAAATGGGTATCAAAATTTCTTTATACGTTGATGACTGTTTCGTATGTTTTCCGAATAGACCATCACAACCTACGAAAACCTGTGGAAATACAATGCTTCACATTGTAGCTAAATTGGCGATATAGAGATTGTCTACTAGATACTTGATTATCATTCGTCCTTTTTGGACATACAGAACAAAAATGGAGATCTTCTACTACATCTAGTTGCATCCGTTGGGCATTTATGTGTAGTTGAGCATTTACTGTTACAGTACAAAACTTCCCCTCTTAACGTCCAGAATCAAAGAGGTAACACTGTGATGCATGTTGTCTTGGAAAATCACCACCTAAAGGTAGCTATATTGTTGTTGAAATGTGAAGATGGATTGGGGGCAAATAAGGGAAATATGGCAAATGGATACAAAAAAATCACCCATGTGCATAGCTATTGAAGCTGGAAATCTTGGCCTTGTTGAACGAATGCTATCCATCAGAATGTCGGCAATTGACAACTTAGTTTTGTGTGCTGTCATTAATTATCCCTTCCTTCGATGGCAGCGCGCAGAACTAAGTTGTCAATTGCTAACATTTTGATGGATAGCATTCGTTTAACAAGACCAAGATTTCCAGCTTCAACAACCATGCATATGAGTGTCTTTTTGTATTCATTTGTCAGATTTCCCTTATTTGCCCCTAATCTCACATTTCAACAATAATGCAACCACCTCTAGGTGGTGATTTTCCATGGCAACATGCATCACAGTGTTGCCTCTTTGATTCTGGACGTTGAAAGGGGAAGTTTTATACTAGAAGTAAACACTCGACTACACATAGATGCCCAGCATATGCAACTACATGTAGTGAAAGATCTCCATTTTTGTTCTATATGTCGAGAAGGGACAGATGATAATCAAGTATCTGGGAGACAATCTCTGTATTGCTAACATTAGCTGCAATGTGAAGCACAATATTTCCATGGAGCTTCGTAGGTTGTGGTGGTCTATTCGGAAAACGTACGAAACAGTCATCCATGTAAAAGGAAATTTTAATGCTCATCTGTACATTTCAGCATCAATGCCTCTAAAACCATTATCAACATCTTCCCTAGCAAGCTCATCTCTAGTATCCTCTGATTCTATGTCATCAACACCTTTTGTTATTTCTTCTTCAGCAACTCTTTGTTTCTTCTCGTTGCTCAAGCTCGTGAGAAACACATTTGTATGCTTGATCTTGACGCTCTCCTCTTATCTGCGGAATGTCGCTTGCAATCCTCTTCTTCTCCGGTCATCTCTTCTGGTGCGACGGCTCTAGTAACTTCCTGTGGTGGTCGCGGGTGATCGCTGTGGGTTTGCTGGTCATGGTCCGGATTAGGGGTGGCATTTTAGACCGAAAAATCGGAAAAATCAACCGACATTATACCGTATTGGAACCGCAATAGCTAAAAACCGACCAAAAATTGCTGTTTTAGTATGTGATTTTAGCAACTTGCGGTTACCGCAAACCGCAAATATATATTTTTTTAAATTGCATTTTAGTAGTTAGATGTTGTGTTTTAATTTGGTTGAGTTTAATATGTTATTAATATGCTTTTATGTTGTTGCTTTTGTGTTGTGTTGTGTTATAGATGGAGTCTAGCCATTCTAACACACCTAATGCCTCTAATCCCCCAAACACAAACCGATACACCCGAAACACAACCTCCACTCCAACTCATAAAGAAGGGCTTCTTCTTATAATAAAATCCACTCACCACCATACACACTTGAGTTTTCCTTTTGGTTTGTAACTTTAATTAACTTTGAATTGGATTTTTCTTTAGGTTGTGAATGCTTGAGAAGTTGAGGTTGAGGTTGTGAATTTATATATGCTTGAGAAGTTGAGGTTGTGAATTTATTTCTTTAGGTTGTAAACTTATATATGCTTGAGAAGTTGAGGTTGTGAATTTATATTTTTTGGTTAAAGTATGCTTGAACTCAAAAAGCTTCAAAAGAAGTATCAAACCTAGGCTTAAAAGTGTGGAAGATTGAATTTGTATGACACAAAAAAATCACACTTAAAGATCTAAAATTGTCCCACAAAAAGAGGTCGGTTTGTGGTTTCAAAAATCACCTTACCGCAAATAGTTGGTCGATTTGCAGTTCGGGGAAAAATTCGCGGTTACCGAACTGCAACCACCCCTAGTCCGAATTGTCACAGCTCATTCTCTCCCTCACTACTTGGTTTTTCTTATGGTCGCGGTTCCCCCAGCGCTTTGCCTGTCATCCTGCCTCACATCAACAGTGTTTTGGCAGCATTTTTGGGCCGGGTGTTCGTAGCCCACCTCATTCTGGCTCTACTGCTTCCGCTTTTGAGCCTCCTTTTGCTCGTGGGCCTCTTCAATGTTTCAATTGTCATGGTTTTGGCCATATAGCTGCTGTCTGTCCCTCCAAGGCGTCTTTTGTGCCTCCTCCTCCGTCTCGTCTTCAAGGCATGACTGCTCAATAACCTCGCATGGTGGCCATCAACAATGGGTTGCTGATACTGGTGCGAGCACTCATATTACCAACAACTTGAGCCACTTATCCCTTGCTAGAGAGTATCATGATTCTAACAATGTTGGAGGTGTACTTGGTGGAACAGGTTTGCCTATTAAAAATATTAGTCACTCTCATTTCTCTCACCTTAATTCTTCTTTTCATCTTAATGATGTTCTTCACTGTCCCGATGTTTCTCTTCCTTTCTTATTTGTTCATAAATTTCCTACTGATATCCATTGTTTCTTCACTCTTTTTCCTGATTTTTATTTTATCCAGGATTTGGTGACGGGGAAGACACTTTTCTCGGGTAAGAGTAGCAATGGCCTATATCCCTTTTCGTTTACACTGAATGAGTCTTTTCAAGTTTTGTCTGATCTTGTTGCTTTACTAGGTATCTGTGTTGACCGTACCGTGTGACACTCTCGCCTTGGTCATCCTACTTCATCTACTTTGCAATTTTTGTTATCTCATAACAAACTGCCATCTTCTGGCTCTCGGTCTAGTTCTTTCTGTCAATCATGTCCATTGGATAAAAGCGTTAAATTACCCTTTAGTCCTTCTTTTTCTGTCACTTCTTCTCCGCTGTAACTTATTCACTCTGATGTATGGAGTTCTTCAAATAAATCTATTTCTGGTTTTAATTATTATGTTTTATTTGTTGATGATTTTCTCATTATTCTTGGATTTTTCGAATGAAATTGAAATCAAAAAATTTCTCTCACTTCGTTAAATTTAAGGCTTTGGTTGAAAATATGTTTTCCACTACGATTAAGGCATTTTAATCCGATGGGGGTGGGGAATACAATTTAAGGATTTTTTTTTTATCACATCATGGCATTCATCATCGTCTTTCTTGTCCACATCATCCTGAGCAAAATAGTTTAGCCGAACGTAAGCATTGTCACATTGTTGACACTGGGCTCACTCTTTTAGCCCATGCCTCTATGCCTCATTCTTATTGGGCCAAGGCCATGCACACCGCTGTTTATTTAATTAATTGTCTTCCTTTTAAGTTGCTTCAGCACAAATCACCCTATGAATTATTGTTTCACAAAGAACCTGATTATTCGTTTTTAAAAACTTTTGGGTGTGCATGTTTTCCTTATTTACGGCCATATAATCATAATAAATTACAATTTTGGTCTTCCAAGTGTGTGTTTCTTGGTTATTATTTGAACCATCAGGGTTATAGATAGGGCTCGTCAATGGGCCGGGCCGGGCAAGCCCGGCCCAAATTTAATGGGCTTGGGCCGGGTCGGGCCGGGCTTTAAAGAGGAGAGAGAAAATATCGGGCCGGGTCGGGCTGGGCTTTTTTAAAAAATTCAAAGCCCAAGCCCAGCCCATGAATCGGGCTTGAAAAAGCCCATCGGGCCGGGCCGGGCCGGGCTAAGCCCCATGGGCCGGGCCGAAATGGGCCCAAATTCAAATATACTCAATTATTCGCTTTGGATGCCTTCAAATGATATCCGTTCCACTGTGACTGATATTATTCCCTTCAAATGATATCCGTTCCACCGTGATGCTTTCCCTCAATTATTCCCTTCCACTGTGACTGATATTTTTTAATTTTCTCCTTCCCTTCCCCTTCCCCTTCACCCACACTTTCTCTTTCTCTAGGAGATTAGCCAGCAATAATCACCAACAAAAAAGATCATCAAAACCATGGCTAGTTCTCGTTCTCCCTGTGGAGCCTGCAAGTTCTTAAGAAGAAAATGTGTGATAGGGTGTATTTTTGAGCCTTATTTCTCCTATGAAGAGGGAGCTACCCATTTTTCTGTCATCCACAAGGTTTTTGGCGCAAGCAATGTGTCGAATCTTTTAGCTCACCTTCCGTTGAGCGATCGATGTGAGGCCGCAACGACAATATGGCATGAAGCTGTAGCCAGGCTTCAAGATCCCATATATGGCTGTGTTTCACATATTATTGCTCTCAAACAGCAGGTTAATCATTTAGTACCCTTTGTATGTTCAGATTGTATGTTGAAGTAAATGATGAGTATATGCTTTTGGTTTGAACTTTTCAGGTGGTCAACTTACAAGCACAGTTAGCTTTCCTCAAGGATCAAGCATATGCTGTAGCAAACCCTAATGATCAGAGTGCACACGACTTACAGGCCTATATGGAGGAATGTGACCTGATTAATGAAATTCCAAAGTGCTCTAACTACGAGGACCTTGTCACAAGCCTCACATTAATGAGAGCCAATGCTCACATTAATGAAATTCCAGAGTGCTCTAATGCTCAATCAAGCTGGAGGAAATGTTAGTTTCAAGTGTCATTATTGTCAAAGGAGGCGGGATTAGGTGTTTGTGTATTAATTATTATGTAAAGATATTTGTCTTTTTTTTTTCATAAATATGAGGCCTATTTTGATGTGTTTTTATATTTCCTCTTTTTCTTTGTTCATAACTTCATAGTTCTCTTTTTTTTCTCATAAATATAAAGATATAGTTATACATCGGGCTTCATCGGGCCGGGCTTTTATGGGCGGGCCGGGCTGGGCTTCATCTGGCTTCATCGGGCTGGGCCTATGGGCCGGGCTGGGCTTCAAACACTCAAGCCCAAGCCCAGCCCAAGCCCAAGCGGGCCGGGCTTTCTCAAAGCCCATAACGGGCCGGGCCGGGCCGGGCGGGCCCCCGTAAGCCCATGAGCCCGCGGGCCAAATGATGAGGCCTAGTTATAGATGCTTGGATCTTGTTTCTAATCGAGTTTTTTTTTATCGCATCATGTGTTATTTGATGAATTTTCTTTTTCGTTTAACAAGGCCCATGCTGCTCCTGCTCCAGACCATTCTCCGTCATCGAACCTGCCTATCATCCTCTCTGGCCCAAGTTTTTCTTCTTGCAGCCCACGCCTTCCAGCATCGCAGCCCCCACCTAGTCCCCCTTCTCCAGCACCTAACCCTTCTGCCTCCACAGAAACTCGTGCTTCCAGCCCCGTCCCGTCCATCTCTGCCATCACCCATGCCGCACCTTCTTTTGCGCCCACCTTTCCCGTTGTGCCCACTGATCCCTTATGCCCTTCTCACCCGCTGGTTGGTCCCCATGTGCCTTCAGCTTCTTGATTCTCTCAAACCTACACTAGGAACCCTAACCGCAAACTTTTCTTCCTGCCTCCCACTTCTGTTTCATCTAGTACATCTTCTCCTCCTATTTCTGATACGTCTCTAGTAAGTGACTCCCATGCTCATTCGATGATTACTCGTGCTCAAATCGGTATCTGTAAATCCAATCCTAAATATGCTAATATGTGTTGGTTTTATCTTCTACTAATTGTACTTTTGAGCCTACCTCTTTTTCACATGCTAATAAGCATCATGAATGGTGTTTTGCTATGGCAGATGAGTTTAATGCCCTTCTTCGTGCTGGGACTTGGACTTTGGTCCCTCGTACTCCCACTATGAATGTGCTGCCGAACAAGTGGGTTTTTCGTATCAAGAGTAATTCTGATGGCTCTATTCAACATTACAAGGCTCTCTTAGTGGCCAATGGTTTTCATCAACAGTTGGGCTTGGACTATGGTGAAACCTTTAGTCCAGTTGTTAATCATTCTATTATTCATCTTATCTTGGCTCTCTCTGTGCAGTTTGGTTGGATCGTTCGTCAATTGGATGTTCAAAATGTCTTTTTGCATGGTTACCTAGATGAAGAGGTTTATATGCGCCGGCCCGTTGGGTTTGTGGATCCCACCTATCCTGATCATGTATGTTGTTTACGTCGCTCTCTTTATGGTCTCAAGCAGGCTCCCCGCGCTTGGTTTCAGTGTTTCTCTTCTCATCTTCTTCAGTTGGGATTCACTGCCTCTAAATCTGATTCTTCCCTCTTCATCTACATTCTTGGTTCTATTCGCATCTATTTGTTGATTTACGTCGATGATATTCTTGTCACTAGCTCTTATTTCTGATTTGGGTCGTCAATTTTCTATGAAGGATCTTGGGCTCACTCATTATTTTTTGGGCATGGAACTTGCTCGTACTTCGTCCGGTCTATCTCTTACTCATACCAAATATGTTATGGATCTCCTCAAGCGTGCTAACATCCACGAAGCCAAGCCCGTGCTACCCCGGCTGTCGGTGGTCGTCGTCTTAGCCTTTCTGATGATGATCTTCTCTCTGATCCTACTGAGTATCGTAGTATTGTTGGTGCTCTTCAGTACTTAACCCTTACTCGCCCAGACATTGCCTTTGCTGTTAATCAAGTTTGTCAGTTTATGCACCAACCCACTGTTGTTCATTGGCTCGCTGTTAAGCGCATTCTTCGTTATCTCAATGGCACACTTACTCATGGGTTGCTCTATTCGCCCAACACCATTCATCTCAGTGCCTGTTCTAATGCCGATTATGTGGGGGACTCGACGATCGTCGCTCCATTGGTGGCTATTATGTTTATTTGGGTACTAACTTAATCTCTTGGAGCCCCAAAAAGCAACGCGATGCCTCATGCTCTAGTACTGAGTTAGAGTACCATCAGCTTGCCTACACTGCCGCCACTCTGTCTTTGTTACGACCTTTATTTCTTGATCATCTTCTAGTTCTGTGCCCTGAGCTTTGGTGTGACAATATTAGTGCTCTCTCTCTTGCCTCTAATCTAATGTTTCACTCTCGCACTAGCCATGTTGAGATTGATTATCATTTTGTTCATGAAAAGGTGGTGCGCAATGAGTTGCTTGTTGCTTATTGCTCTACTATTGATCAGATTGTTGATATCTTCACTAAGGGTCTATCTCCTGCTCGATTTTCTTTCCTTTAGTCCAAGCTGCATGTGCTCCCTCGCCCCGTCAGCTTGCGAGGGTGTAATGAGACGTGATTTAGTTTCGTGTTTTATTTGTATTTATTTCATAGATTTGCTGTATATAGTCCTTGTCTCTCAAGGACTTGATTCTTGCCTAGAAAAGGAAATCCTTTGTGTAGACACCAAGCAAAGTATTGTATATAATTATCATACGATTGTTCAATGAAAATCATCGAGAATATTCAAAACCTTTCACACATCTCCTCAAGCGGAAATTGTGAAGAAAAGAGGGTAAAACATTCAAGATTCACATATTCATCAACTTCAACTTTCTGAGCCATGCAATACTTAACCTCCAAGGATTTGAGACTGGAACTTGAAACAATAAATAGGGAATCCTCAAAAGAACATGAAGCTAGTGACAAGGACTCGACGGAAGGGCACTCCCACCGAATTAAGGAGAAGAGAGCATAGTTATCAAAGAAGACACTTGGCAGAGTCATTCTATAGTGAGGGTCTTATAACGCCTTTAGATGAGACCTTATCTTTTTATTATTGGATCAAACTAACGAATTAGATCTAGCGGCTAACCAATTTGATCCAACGGTTAAGAGATAGGACATCATCTAAGGGTCTTAGATAAGGCCCTCACTATATAATTCTACGACATTGGCATATGAGGTTTTAAATCCTATAGAGCAAAGCCTACTCCTAACAGAATTCAAAACCATCTTGAGTGTTACAGCAGGGGCAAGAAGAGTTTCTGAAAATCCTACAGTTTCTTTCCTTCCAAATGTAGTAGACAGATGCAGCAAGACAGAGTCGCTTGACAATGGATCTCACAGATTTTCCTTTCCAAGAAGATGAGGCCCAAGGAATTAACAGATGCCAAGATTGAGGAATGCCCACTCCACTACACTTACACATAACCTGTCTCCAGATAGGTTCAGAGTAAGAACACTGATCGGTTCATAATTGTATATCATTTTGTACCCTTCTAGCTTATGATTTGGTTATGTTTTTGAGTTAAACTTGTGCTTTTAATCCTTTTTGTGTTTATCTTTCAGTTCATTGAGCTTTAGGTAATAATGAGGGCTTTGGATAGTAAATGATGCAATCCATGCATGTTAGGGCCTAATTTGGATGAATGGATGAAGAGCTTAAAGACAAACTCAATTTTGGCTACAGTCCCCTGCCAGCCCAGTTTCGTAGGTCATATTGCAAGCTTTGTTTCAGCAACCTACACAGCTCGGATGAGGCAGCATTCTTCATGAAAGTTGTTCCAATGGGTGTGTAATATAACATATCCAAAATTCAGCCCCATTGGATAAATATGGAGTCTGTTACCTAGCAAACACAAAGCCATGCTCAGGATGGATTTTATCAGCGCGCAAAATGAGTTAGCAATTTGTTTTGGCCTTAACTTCCTCCTCC